CAATACCTTAAAAGGGAATATAGCCCTCTACCTTAAGTGAGAATTGTGGCCCTCTACCTTAAGTGAGAATTATAGCCCTCTACAGTGAGAATTATAGCCCTTTGTAGCCCTCTACAGTGAGAATTATAGCCCTCTACAGTGAGAATTATAGCCCTCTACCTGAAGTGAGAATTATAGCCCTCTACAGTGAGAATTATAGCCCTTTGTAGCCCTCTACAGTGAGAATTATAGCCCTCTACAGTGAGAATTATAGCCCTCTACAGTGAGAATTACAGCCCTCTACCTGAAGTGAGAATTATAGCCCTCTACAGTGAGAATTATAGCCCTCTACCATAAGTGAGAATTATAGCCCTCTACCTCAAGTGAGAATTATAGCCCTCTACCATAAGTGAGAATTATAGCCCTCTTCTTAAGTGAGAATTATAGCCCTATACTTTAAATGATAATTATGGCCCTCTACCTTATGTGAGAATTGTAGCCCTTTACTTAAGTGAGAATTACAGCCCTATACTTAAGTAAGAATTGTAATCCTTTTAAAATATCTTAAGTGTGAATTTTAGCCCTCTAGCTCAAACAAACTATAGAGATCAAATTTTGTTCACAAAAATATTGCATTGATTGTTCTTTTTTTTCAATGGTCCTAAGATAAAAGCATTATTTATATGTTTCAGTCACAGTTTACTTCAAATGAACAACCACCAGAGGTACCTTTAGTACTATTTTTAACTCTTATTTTGAATATCCATAGTAATAGTATTTCTTTTTGTCTATTTCAGTTAGGTTTTGATTTCAATCATGCTCAGTCAGGCTATGTAATGATGACAAAATGGCTGCCAGACAATGAAGAGAACAAACTACCTGAATACGCAAATCAGTACTTAGGTAAGCTGGTAAATACCAAAGGAGTAGAAGTTTTTTAAAAGCCCGCACACTCTAGTTTTGTTAGCATCTATTCCAGAAAAAAGGAAATTGGAATTTTAATAAATTATTGTCATTTGACAATAAGTACAATGACTGTTGATAATGTACATGCTTACTAACTAGTTTTTGTTGTTGTAATCATGAGATTTCAGTAGGTTTTGCATATAAGGAGTTGTGGAATGCAGGTTAAACAAACAGTAAAGAAACTCACATTTTGCCTGTCAAAAGGTCTTGCGATTATTCTCAAACCAAGACAGTCCTTGTATTAAGCATACAAAAATTGTTCCTCCCCTTTATCCATGCATGTACATGTATTTTAAAATACCAACTGTAAGAAGAGGATTTTATTCCTTTTATAAAATGTGATCTGGCTGTATATCCAAGATGTTGAAGTTTAAAGAAAAGCTGAGAATGTTATATAGTTGAGATATTTCCTTGCCTACTTTCCAGGTGTGGCGGGGTTTGTCCTGAATGAGGAGTGGGAGCTGTTGGTGATCAGAGAGAGGTACAGTGTAATCAGGTCCAAGCCGTGGAAGTTACCTGGAGGACTCGCTGATAAAGGTACAGTATCATGAAGTCCCAGCTGTGGAAGTTACCTGGAGGACTCGCTGATAAAGGTACAGTATCATGAAGTCCCAGCTGTGGAAGTTACCTGGAGGACTCGCTGATAAAGGTACAGTATCATGAAGTCCCAGCTGTGGAAGTTACCTGGAGGACTCGCCGATAAAGGTACAGTATCATGAAGTCCCAGCTGTGGGAGTTACCCGGAGGACTCGCTGATAAAGGTACATGGCTGGGATCTCTACAGCATGTTGTTTGAATTACTTCCCTTTCCACATGGCAGAAGTTCAAAAAATTTTAATAGTACCTAAGATTTAGCTGCTTCTATGTAATTAATTGTGAGAAAACTGTGAATACTATTTTTGATAGATCATAAAAATTAAAATGAATAAATAAATTTCTTAAATTCATTTTTGAAGTTTAAATAACTATATTTGAAAGTTAATTTATGCACAAAAGCACTTTAAAATATTTTGAAAATAATATATAAAAATAATATATAAAAAGGAAACTGTTTTACAATTTGTTTTTTAATGCATTAAAAAAAATTCGAATGTCGATTTGTTTTATTTAATGATGGAACATTTATTTATAAGTCAGAAATGAATTTAATAGCTACACAAGTAAAACTACTATAACCTTGGTTGGAACACCTAACTTTTTTTTAGAAATCATGCTCTGGTATAGTGTAAAATCTAAGCAACTCAGGTTATACAATAAAACTTGAGTATCTATTAAATTTATTGTTAAATAATTCCTGACTGGATCTTTGATTCCTTGTCAGGTGAGGATTTGGCGGAGACGGCCAGGAGAGAGGTTCTGGAGGAGACGGGGATCCAGGCCGAGTTTGTGTCCGTGCTCGGCTTCCGTCATCAGCACAACTTCCGATTTGGTTGTTCTGACTGGTACTTTGTCTGTCTGATGAAAGCAGTTAGCACGGAAATCAAACATTGTCCTCAGGAAATCGCAGACTGTAAATGGATATCTGTGAGTTGACTTTACTGTAAATGGTTATCTACAGGTTTACATGTGTATATCAAGGCTTTACTGTAAAGGGATATCTGTGAGTTAATGTTTTATCTTTACTGTACATGGATATTGTCATAGCTTTGCTGTAAAGGGATATCTGTAGTTTATATCATGATAGTGACGTATAGTGAGATTGTAGTAGTCTTCACCTCCTTAGTTTTTGTATAATTTTTCAAAACAACATAATCTTGATCCAAATCAAATACTAGTGGGGTTTTTTGCTTTGGGTAAATATACAAACTTGTGAATGACCTACCAGTACATACTTCAGTACCTACACACTTATTTTGACTGATTCCAGACTGATGAATACTTAGCTGACCCTGATTGATTTATTTACTTCAGTGAACATGTACCTATTTTTACTTACTCCAGATTGATGAGTACTTAGCTGACCCAAACCTGACAGCTGCCAACAGGTTCTTTGCAGAATGTTACCTCAATCACCAGAAAAATGGCAATCTGACCATATCCCCCTCACTGGTGGATTCATGGAACAAGAAGTTTAAAAACAATATTTACAGTATTCAACCTGTACCAAAGGTTAGTCTTCATGTTTGACAATAAAGGAAAACAAAGATCACAGTAGATTTTGTAGCCTATAGCTTGCTACATATACATCTAACTAAATAATTAGGAATTTAGCTTGCAATATCTAGATCTGTTAGAAAATTTTAAAACTTTATTCAAATTTATTTAAAGCATTTTTAAAAATAGTGTGATTTAATGTAAATATATAGAGAGCAATTTTTACATACAAGTACCATACTTCCCACAGATGGATTGATTGGCTACAGGTAACAGATGTGATTTTTGTCCCCTTATTTTTTGGAAAAGAGAGGGGATATTCAATTTTTTTTTGTGGGGGGGGGTGTCAGTTTGTCTATCTTTCATACTGTCTTTTATGAAATCACTATCCTTGTTCACAACTTTTCAAGGAGAAAAGATAAAGTTTTCATGTTTCTCCTACGTATGCTGTCAGAAAATCCAAATTTATGATTTTTTTTGTCAGTGACCTTGACCTGGAAGTTTTGACATACTTTTTATAAATTTTAACACTGCATAGATATAACTTTTTAATGAAATAAGAAGGGGCATTCATATTTCACACATATATTACTTGTGAAAACATGTTCAGAAAGATCATTTTGTGACTTCATGATCCAAAATTAAAAGACCTAATTATCAAAAAAATCAACTGTGGCCATACTTTTTTGTCCAGAAATAAGAAACTAACACACATGTCTTATTCCCAATATCAATAATATAAAGTAGAGAATTGGTGATTTAATCTTTAACTTTTCATCTGAAAATAGGCTTCTTGAAATTGCAATGCTCTTAAATTTTAAAGAAAACACTTATCTAAGGAAAAACTGACTAACTTTTTGGTTTCATGATGTGATCAATTGAGTGGTTTGCTTGATAATTTGCATAAAACGCCATAGGCATTTATGCATAAAATTATCACGCTAACCAATCGATTGATCATCATCATGAAACCAAAAAATCTGACAGTTATTCCTTTTACTGTGGTTTCTTCAATTAACGTTTGCATCAATTAATAATTGTGTATTTTGTAAAACAGACATTTTCTAGGATACGAAATTTCGTGGACAAAAGCATTGCTTATACAAATGACTAACATATTTCTTCATTCAATGGACTTTTAAAGTCATGGATCTGCTTAACAATGAAATCCTTGAAAATTTATGCTCAACGAATATAGATGAAACCACAGTATTTACATTCTCTTGACTGGGCAAATCCATGTGATTTAAGCCCCCCTTCTGTTTCTATTTTTCCCGCCCTGCTCTTGATTTTTTTTTTTAACCATGCCTATCAATGAACCAGTAGATTTATTAGAAATAAAGTAAATTTTCTAATTGTAATTTTGACTCGGACCAAGACATTGGAAATGTAAATATATGAGTATACTTTCAGTGAAATAACAAGATATGAGGGCACACCTTGATCCAAGAAATGAAACATGTTTTGTAATCTTCAGAAACAGTTCTATCATTATATAACTCCATATGTTTTAGATCAGAGATTGGGCTCTCTATGTAATATGGAAAAATAACATATAAATTTACTATATGTATATATCAAGAGAAAATTAACCTGAAAAATAAGACATTATTTATCAGTTAGAAAGAAAGAATTAATCTACACTACATATGATGTTACAAAAGCCAACATGGCCAACAACTCTTAGAAAGATATTAGCTCTGTATTTAGAAAAAAAATACAATTAGGGTATCTTTTTTTACTCTTTCACTCCATCATATTTGACTAATAGCCTGAACTGAAGAAACAAGGTACATGTATATTCTTTTCATTTCCTTTGGACAAATTTTTTTAGTTGCTTGCATTTGTTCTAAAATTTACAAAGGAAATGGCCTTATTTATAAAGTTGTTATCAAAGATTTTCTATCACACAGTTTTAGTTAACACGTACCGTACAAATGTCAGATGAAATAATACATGATTCTGTAAATGTCATTGACAAGTATTAGTACAACACACCTATAAAATCTGCTTATCTCATTTCTTACAAAGTACATCAGAAAAAAGGAACTAATTATGTCACGATAATGTCAATCATACGGTATCAATGGAATTGAAAGCGAGATGCAAATTTGGCAATTTTCTTTAAGGTAGAATGGAATACCTCCATGTTATGACATAATACATGTAATATGTTTGAAGTATTGTTTTGATTTGCATGAGTGCTTACTATCAGGTCAAAAATTGTAGATACACTTGGAGTTTAAAAGATATTAACACTCTGTAGCTATTTCAGTGCAAGTTCTCACAAGTTGGGATTTTTACTAGAATAGACCAAAAAATATAAAATTTACTTATAATTATACTATGAACATTTAAAAAGCAAACTCTGTAAAAGAAATAGTTTAAACATTGCAGCTTTTGAACAGCTGTACTTCAATTGTTTAACTGTCCACTACCTGGTGTGCGACGAGGCGTGGATAAGTATGAGTACTTCACATTGTGCTGAATAATTACCAATCAATTATCAGTCAACTGGGCTGGTCTTCTGTATTATTTTATTAGCTCACTTCGGCTCAAGTGAGCTTTTCTGATCAAAATTTGTCCGTCGTCTGTCGTCGTCGTCGTTGTTGTCGTAAACTTTTCACATTTTCATCTTCTTCTCAAGAACCACCGAGCCGATGTCAACCAAACTTGCCACAAAGTATCCTTGGGTAAAGGGGATTCAAGTTTGTTCAAATGAAGGGCCACGCCCTTTTCCAAGGGGAGATAATTATGAATTAGAGAAAAATTAATGGCATTTTTTAAAAGTCTTCTTCTCAACAACCACTGGGCCAGGAAAGATGAAGATCCTATGGAATCATCCTCAGGTAGTGTAGATTCAAGTTTGTTCAAATCATGACCCCCAGGGGTAGGGTGGGGCCAAAATGACCGATCAAAGTTTTACATAGGAAGATATAGGAAAAAACTTTAAAAATCTTCTTTTCCTGAATCACTGGACCAGGAAAGATGAAACTCATACTGAATCATCCTCAGGTATTGTAGATTCAAGTTTGTTCAAATCATGACCCCCGGGGGTAGGTTGGGGCCAAAATGGCCGATCAAAGTTTTACATAGGAATATATAGGAAAAATCTTTAAAAGTCTTCTTCTCCAGAACCACTGGGCCAGGAAAGATGAAACTCATATGGAATTATCTTCAGGTAGTGTAGATTCAAGTTTATTCAAATCATGACCCCCGGGGGTAGGGTGGGGCCAAAATGGCCGATCAAAGTTTTACATAGGAATATATAGGAAAAATCTTTAAAAGTCTTCTTCTCCAGAACCACTAGGCCAGGAAAGATGAAACTCATATGGAATCATCCTCAGGTAGTGCAGATTCAAGTTTATTCAAATCATGACCCCCGGGGGTAGGGTGGGGCCAAAATGGCCGATCAAAGTTTTACATAGGAATATATAGGAAAAATCTTTAAAAATCTTCTTTTCCTGAATCACTGGACCAGGAAAGATGAAACTCATATGGAATCATCCTCAGGTAGTGTAGATTCACATTTGTTCAAATCATGACCCCTGGGGGTAGGGTGGGGCCAAAATGACTGATCAAAATTTAACATAGGAATATATAGGGCAACCTTTTAAAATTTTCTTTTCAAGTATTTCAAAGCCATGATTAGTTGAATTTATAAGGAAACATCCTCAGGTAGTGTAGATTCTAGTTCGTTCAAATTATGATCCCCTGGGGGGGGGGGGGGGGGGGGGGTTTAAAATTCAAGCCCCCCCCCCCCCCCACCTCAGTAAACCTTCAGTTCTGATCTGATATGTGCTTTTTCCTAGCCGATGTGCTCAGGTGAGCGCTGTGGCCCCTGGGCCTCTTGTTCAAGAAGTAACAGTTTGGTCACAAATCAGCTAGCTGTTGTATATGGTCCCAAACTTTTAAATGAATGAAATGGCTTCTGAATGAGACACATTTTGGAAAGTAATTGTCCAGGCATTGTCTTCAAAATAGTTCAAAGCTGGAAACTACAACTGAAAGAAGGTGCGATTTTTTAAGTATGTGATTAAATGCTTATAATTTCTGAAATAGCACCCAGGTTTTTTCAACCCCTGGAAAACAAAGAAGGATATCTCTTTCGTTTGGATCTTCTAATCCAAAGATATTTAAATGCATCTGATATTTTCCATTTGTATTTATATTTCCCAGTTTTTTTACGCTTATTTTTGTTGAAATCAAAAAAAATACTAAGAAATATTTCTTTTCGGTTTTGTTAGCTCACCTGAGTCGAAGTGAGCTTTTCTGATCACATTTTGTCCGTCCATCTGTCTGTAAACTTTTCACATTTTCAACTTCTTCTCAAGAACCACTGGGCCACTTTTAACCAAACTTGGTACAAAACATCCTTGGATAATGGGGACTTTGAATTGTTAAAATTAAGTCCTTTCCAAGTGGAGATAATCAAGAAAAGACAAGAATAGGATGGGGTCATTAAAAAATCTTCTTCTCAAGAACCAGTGGGCCAGGAAAGCTGAAACTTATGTGGAATCATCCTAGGGTATTGTAGATTCTAAATTGTAAAAATCATGACCCGGGGGGGGGGGGGGGGGGGGGGGGGTGGGGGGGGCATGGCCACAATAGGGAATCAAAGTTTTACATAGAAATATGTAGGGGAAATCTTTAAAAATCTTCTTCTCAAGAATCAGTGGACCAGAATAACTGAAACTTATGTGGGAGCATCCTGGAGTAGTGTAAATTTTAAATTGTTAAAATCATGACCCCCGTGGTAGGGCGAGGCCACAAAAGGGAATCCAAGTTTTACATAGAAATATAAAGAAAAAAAATCTTTAAAAATCTTCTTCTCAAGAACCACAGGGCCATTAAATTTGACACAAAGATTTTTCCTATATATTTCTATATAAAACTTTGATTCCCTATTGTGGCCGCTCCCAAGCCCCGGGGGTCATGATTTCAACAATTTAGAATCTAAACAACCCCAGGATGCTTCCACATAAGTTTCAGCTTTTCTGGCCCAGTGGTTCTTG